GGTGTGTGGGGGGGACCCGGCCCCGCGGGAGGGAGCGCCGCCGCGCTTCCCAAGCAGCGCACTTATCCAGTGCGCCACTGGGCCGGCCCCCTGTCAATTCTTTTTCCAGGGCACAAACTGGCAAGGTAGGCGACTTGGAATTGTGGCGAGCAATTTTATTTTATATTATGACTTAAGTAATATCAATACAATGTGATTACTATAAGAGAGCATTTGTTCCTATAGGATAAAATTCTATTATAATTTATAATGAGATACTTTTATGATAGTACAAAAACTGTATAGTAATAATTACAAGATAATTTTCTTTTTTGATATATTAAAAAAAAAGCTTTCCTGATGCATAGAGTTTTTTCCAGAAATCAGTTTTTAAAGGCATGATAGGATAAATATTTATAGCTGTATAACTCCATGGATAATTATTTAGAAAAGGGAGTTATTTTGTGTGTTCTTACTGATTTCAGAGTATCAACTAGTTTCTTCTTTTCTTTTTTCTTAGATTCTGGTCCCAGAATATTTTGAGTACCACTGTCCTGTCCTTGTCTCTTTCTTAAATGTTGAAGGATTTAATTGCCAAGGCATGTTTATTTATTTACTCCAATTTTTTTCTTATTGAGGTAAAATACACATAACATACAATTTACCATTTTAACCATTTTTAAGTGCACAGTTTAGTGGTATTAAATATGTTCATAATATTATGCGACCATCATCACCATCCATCTGCAGAACTCTTTTCATCTTGTAAAACTGAAACTCCCCATTCTTTCCTCCCCACAGTTCCTGGCAACCACCATTCTACTTTCTGTCTCTATGATTTTTTTTTTTTCCTTTTTGTCTTTTTTCGTGACCGGCAGTGGATCGCAACCCCGGTGTTGCGCCCGCACCTTGCTCAGCCAGTGAGCGGCCGGTCTGTATGTGGGATCTGAACCCTCGGCGGGAGCGCCGCCGCGCTCCCAAGCGGCGCACTATAGCAGTGCGCCACTGGGCTGGCCCAGTCTCTATGATTTTGACTACTAAGTACCTCATACAAATGGAATTATACAGTATTTGCCTTTTTGTTTCTGGCTTATTTCATTTAGCATAATGTCCTTAAGGATCATCTGTGTTGCAGCACGTCAGGATTTTTTTCCTTTTTAAGGCTAAATGATAGTCCATTCAGTGTATATACTAAAGTTTGCTGATCCATTCATCCATTGATGGACATTTAGGCTGCTTCCATGTTTTAGCTATTGTGAATAATACTGCCATGAATATGGGTGTGCAAATATTTCTTCTAGCCCCTGTTTTCAGTTCTTTGGGGCATACCCAGAAGTGGAATTACTGGATCATATGGTAATTCTGTTTTTAATATTTTGAGGAACAAACAAATTGTCTTCCACAGTGTCTGTACCATTTTACATTCCCACCCACAGTGCACAAGAATTCTTTTTTTTTTTTTTCAAAAGATGACCGGTAAGGGGATCTCAACCCTTGGCTTGGTGTCAGTGCACAAGAATTCTAATTTCTCCACATCCTCACCAACACTTTTCATTTTCTGTTTTTTTGATAGTAGCTATCGTAATGGGTGTGTGATGGTATCTCACTGTGGTTTTGATTTGCCAGTGATTCCCCAATGATTAGTGATGTTGAGCATCTTTTCATGTACTTATTGGCCGTTTATATATCTTCTTTGGAGAGATGTCTATTCAAGTCCTTTGCCCATTTTTGAATTAGGGTTGTTTGGTTTTTTTGTTGTTGAGTTTTAGGAGTTCTTTAAATATTCTGGATATTAATTCTTTTTTTTTTTTTGTCTTTTTCCGTGTCCGGCAACGGATCGCAACCCTCAGTGTCGCCCCCGTACCGGACCGGGACCGGCAACGGGATCGCAACCCTCGGTGTTGCTC